AGAGAGAGAGAGAGAGAGAGAGAGAGAGAGAGAGGTTCAAAAAACACATATATGTTTAGAGACAGGTCTTTCTGAGTTGCTTAGAGCCTTGCTAAATTGTTGAGGCTGGCTTTGAATTCGGAATCCTCCTGCCTCAGTCTCCGGAGCTGCTGGGATTACAGGCTTTTTCTCTAATTTTTAAAAACCATTTACATTTATTACTTTTCCAGGGGAAAAAAAAATATCCTATGTAAATAAAGTACTTTGGTGGCTCCATCTCGGTAGAGATGTTGTCCAGACTGAACACTGGGAAAGTTCCCACATTTGGCTTTTGACTCAGCTACGAGTCTTATGCAGGAACTGCGTAGCCTAACCAGACCCAAGGCTGGCGCTCCTGGAGCTGAGGGCTTTGGGTTTCAAGTTGGAGGTCAAAGCTAAAGGTAAGGTGAAGGACTGAGAAAAAAGGGACCTGCCACCAGCCGGGGCAGACGGCAGGAACCATGGGGACTGGGGCTTCTCATACAGAGCAGGATCCCAATGCCAGGCCCACCGCCTCTATACCAGGAGGGTCACACCAGCTTCCCTCATCACTGCTCTCGGTTACTGGGAGCGGCGGGCGGGGGGGGGGGGGACTCGAGGAAGGGCTCCAACTATTGGTCCAAATGCCGGTGAGTCTGGTGGGAGGCCCAGCCCTTTCTCTCCCCACCCAAAAGTCACTTACAACTGGTAGAGAATGGTGGTCTTTCCTGCATTGTCCAGTCCCACGATGATGACCTTGTGCTCTGGAGGCATCCGGGTAAGGTCAGAATCAGAGCCAAACCCGATGTCCAAGGACAGGGCTCCCAGGAAGACCAGTGTTCCCAGCTGGCCGAGGGATCTCTGCCCACCGCACCACTTCTACTTCCCAACCGGCCGGGAGGACGCCTGCACCACTCCCGGACAGTGGCAAAGAGAACCGAGTCCCACCTCCCTCCAAATTTCTAGAAGCGATTGCCTGAAGGGTCCGGGGTGCTCTGGACATGCCAAGAGGAGGGATCTGGAGAAAGATCCAAGCGGTAGTTGCAGGAAACCGAAAGCGGCTCCCCCAGCCCTGCCCCGTAGCGGTTTAGCGGGGAGGAGGGAGACTCGCCCAACTCTGCAGCGCACCCGGGGACGCACGGAAGCATGGAGCCCGGGAGAAACCGGCTGGGAGAAGAACARAGGAGACCGTGGAGCAGGCAAGGAGCGCGCAAGGAGCACGCACGCGGACTCTAGTAGTCCGAGATCTCTCAGCCTGTCGGCCCAGACGACCTCCAATTGAGGGAGCCTCAGGAGACCAGAGGATCAAAGCGGTTGCTGGGATGCCCTATGTGCCTCTTACCCTGATTCCCAAAGATGCCCATCAACTTGGCGATCAGCTGTCCCATGGCACGTCCCTAGCTGGGTAGGTGCAGGACTCGGGGGCCTGGGGGCAAGAATCTAGCCCAAGGGTTTCGAGCCCCGCCCCCGAGGGAGGGCCAGAAAGGCTTAGCCCATGAGGACCGAGGAACCCCACCTCGCAGGTGGGACTTGGGGGTACACTGGGACTCATCTCTCGCGTGCGCAGTGGACATTACAGCGATGATGAGCTGCTTGTCCAGGGCCTTGGAGGTGCAAAGAACAATGAAGTCCCGGACTGCACCCTCCTCTTGGCCCTGAAAAAAAACTGAAGTTCTCTCTATGTTCTGCTCCTAGGCTGCAAATCAAGGGAATCTAAGCACTGCGGGGCACCAAACAATCCTAGCTCTCCCTCTACCCGCTAGAGCAAAACCCTAGACTGAAGCAAAACCCGAGGCGACCCAATTTCTGCACCTACCAGCGGAACAGAGGGCTCTCTGGTTCTCTCTTAGCTGGGAGAACGTTCCAGCTTTGGGTCTTCTCTAGTTGTTTTGCTAGTGAAAGTCTTGTGGGCCCACTCAAAGTGGACTCCCCAGGGAAAGGGCAGGGTCTCCCCCTTCCTCCTGCAGGTCCCTCCTGCTAGGCAACATCTAGAGAGAAATTGGGGCTTCTACAATCCATTGACATACCACATGCTCCGCAGCTGATCCCACGATTGGGTGTCTGGAGACAAAGATGGAGCAAGAAGATTCCCCAGCCAGAGACCCTGCAGAGGGTCCCAGACATTAAGACCCAGCAGAGAAGAAAAAATTATTTTTGTTTGTCTAGGTTTTGGTTTTCTTTTTCTTTCTTTCTTTCTTTCTTTCTTTCTTTTTTTTTTTTTTTTGAGACAGGGTCTTCCAGGGCTCAAGTGATCCTCCTGCCTCAGCCTCCCAGGCAGAGGAGAATAATGAGACTAAAGAGAACCAGAAGTCCAAGCAAGAGAGAAAGGGGGATATTCTTGTTTGTGAATTTCCTTCTTTGCACAAACTTGGAAAAACCCAGAAACAAAAAGAGAAGTTGGAAAGGCAAATCAACACATCAAAGCGCCTGATCCTTCCACCTTACTGCCTCTGTCCCCACAGGCCCCAATGTGGCTCCCTCTGATGATGTAGTAAACCTTCAACTGGCCTGTTTCTGCCCTCCCCCCCTTTCCCAGAGCACCCTCCTCGCAGCTCTATTAGCCTTTTAAAAGCACAGCTCAGCATCTGTTATTCCCACTCACAGCCTTCAATGGCTCTCTATTGCCCACTCACTCTGGATCAGCCTTCTAACCTGGCATTCAAGATCCTCCAGCAACAGCCCCCACCTGCTTTTGCAGTTTTACCTCCCGGGTTTTGCATCCACTGCTCCCTGCCCTTATATGTCCAGTTCTTTCCCACTTTGCCCTTCCTCCTGCATTCCCTCCACATGAATGCCTTACACCTACTCAGAAAGGGAAAATGCCTGGAACTCACTAGCTGCCTTCCCGTAAAGCCACCTATTCTCAAGCTCCCACCACATGGAAACTCTCTCCACGCTGGGGCCATAGAATGGCCTGTTTCTCTCAATCACCTGTGAACCCTAGAGGCTGGGTTTCCTATCTTGTTCACCAGTGTTTGTCCCCCTCCCCACCTGGTTCAGTGCCTGGCATACAGTTAGGAATGTGTTGTCATTAGGTTGACTTAGGACAAGTTAAGCTACAGCCTGAGAATATGCGCTTGGAGTATTAAAAAAAAGAATGTGTGTGGGGCCTGATGTGGTGGAGCACACCTATAATCCAGTGTCTCAGGAGACTGAGGAAGGAGGATTACAAGTTTAAAGCCAGCCTCACCAACTTAGCAAGGCCCTGTCTCAACATTTAAAAAAAAAAATTTTTTAAAGGTCTAGGAATGTGGCTCAGTGGTTAAGCGCCCCTGGGTTCAATCTCCAGTACCAAAAAATAAAAAAGGACTGGGATGTAGAGCATCCCTGAGTTCAATCCCCAGTATAAAAAAAAAAAAAAAAAAAAGAAAAGAATATGGGCACAGGATTGAGGGAGGCTAAAAAGTTTGTGGAGAGCAGAGGCAAACAGCTCACTACATAAAGACTTTTGATTCACCCAGTTTGGTGCCCAGAGAGATAGAAGCCTGGAAAAGTGACCTTCAAGCCCATTTGGGCTGATTTCATTTCAGCCCTGGGAAAGAAGGGTCTGGGACTGGGGCTGGTGGGGGCCAGGAGGGTGCTGGGGGAAGCAACAGTGCTTTAAGTGATTTTACCATCTGTTTCCTGGGAGAGAAAGGAACCTTTAAGTGCCTTCCCCTGACACACACACATACCCAATTGCAGAATTGAAAGTGACACTGCAAACTGGGAGCACATTCAATAAACAGACAAGATCTGCCTGCCTCAGGAGGCCCAGGACTGGGCTCTTAGGAGGCATCCATCCATTCACTCATTCATCTGTTCATTTCACAAATATGAGTCAAACACAACCAAGCAGCCAAATCACCCAGCCTGGGTCTCCATGGACCCTTCAAGTCTGGAGAGGGAGATAAACACACACGTGCACACACACTGTCACACTCTGAGAGACAGTAAAGTGGGCACCCTTCTTCAAGGAAACAATTACTGGAGTTAACACAAGATGTCTCTTTAGCCTACTAGACTGGGACACCCCCTTGACCCTGGCCCATGGTGACCTCAGCTCAACTTGCTTTATTTTACAACAGTGGAAACCTTAATTCACACCTGGTACTTGTGGCCTACCCCACTTCAGCTCACTTAGGGGCAGAATCCTCCACAAAATGTAAGCAGCTAGCCAGGGAAGCAGGTAAAGGAAGGGTGCCAGGTAGGAAGGGTCCCCAAGGCTTCACTTTCTGAGTCCATGGGGGCAATCAGAGCAGCAGAGCCTGCTGACGACATGGCTGTTGAAATCCTCACATGTTGACAACCACATGTGCTGACTGAGCAGCCAACTTTGGTTAAGGGTTTGTGGTTACCAAGAAACAAGAATTTCTCCCCATTTCTCAGTATCTCCAGTCCTTGCCTGCAAGTTCTAAGCAAAGGTAACTTCAGGCAGAARGTACATGAGAGGAGACAGAAACACTCAGACTCCTGCTTCCTCCCAACTCCCTACCCCCAAAACCCTTGCAGAAGCTAGTGGTGCATCCTGGGGTAGAGGAATTAGCACTAGACTTGGGGGTCACAGGTACCATGGAATCAAAATGTGAATTTGACTCCTTTGCTCTATGGCTGTGTAATTACAGACTAGTCGCTTAGTCTCTCTGAACCTCTCTGCAGAGGTTCAGCTCATTGTGCCCAGCTGTCTTCTCTTCTTCCCTCAAAAGTCCCACAGGAAACTTAAACCCCTTTATGCAAAGCCAGACTCATTACTTCTGCTCTGATCTGTTTTTAACCTTCTTTTGTCTGGGAAGACTACCACCCACTGTCACCCTCTCCCTTACTGGCTACCTCTACTTGTTCTTCAAGAACTCTGGATTCTATCTGCTAGATGTCACTGTGGTCTAAGGCACAGCCTCATTTCCACCTTAGTGACCAGCATTTCCAAGTGAGGCCCTCCAATTCATGCTCCAACCAAAGCAATCTTGTCATTGCTATTTATAATCCTTTAATTTCTTTCTTTGGGTGGGGGACTAGAGATTGAACACGGGAGCACTCAACCACTGAGCCATATTCCCAGCCCCTTTTTGTATTTTATTTAGACAGGGTCTCACTGAGTTGCTTAGCACCTCCCTGTTGCTGAGGCTGGCTTTGAACTCAGGATCCTCCTGTCTCAGCCTCCTGAGCCGCTGGAATTACAGGCACAGGCCACCACACCTGGCTAATCCTTCAATTTCTGAGCACTAGCTTCAGAACAAAAAATAAACCTTTTGGGGTACAGAGCATTAAACACAGGGGTTCTCTGCTACTGAGCTACATCTCCAGTGCTTCCCCTGGTTTTTAGATAAGGTCTCACTGTGTTGCCCAGGCTGAGCCTTGAACTTGTAATCCTCCTGCCTGAGTAGCTGGGATTACAGGTGTTCACCACCATGCCCAGCAAAAACCAAATGGCCTGCTCCTGTCAACTCCTCTCTGGCCTCCACCTCACCATGCTTTGTTAGTGAAGTGCCAAAAACTTGTCATGCATGTGCCTGGTTCCTCTGCCTTGAACACCCCCCTACTTTTTTATCTGGCTTAACCTCCAACTTTGCTTCTAGACTCCAAGCAAGCCTCACCTCCTCTATGAAGACTTCCCTGATTTCCCCAGGTTGAGAGTGTGACCCTTTTCCAGGTTCCCACATTACCAGTGCTTCTCACAGCACACAGCTCATGTTCAGTACTGGAATTGTCTGCAGCTCTCACGTCAACTTGCCCCTGGGACCTAGGAGGTGCCTAATAAATGTATGTCCAGTGAATAAACAAGGAATAAATGATCAATCCCATGGGAAAGTGGTGGAAAGAGTAGCAAGCTAGAGGCAGAGACCCTGCTCTTATCAACTTTGCCATCAACCCTCTGGGGAGCTCCAGTCAGCCACCTGACACCTGGGTCTGCCAGTTCCTCTTTGATCTGCTAACTCATCTGTGGGCCTTCCGGTGTCTGTTGCCTTCCACACACATACACACACATTTTGGGTTACCGCCTCAAAAACAAGAACCAGGAGGGTGAGAGAGCTTGCAGGTGCTCCATGAAGTAGGATATAGGTGATGGCAGTAATGACTGCGCCTCTGCGGAGCCAGAAGCTCAGCCCTCCCTCCCCAAGATTCTGGGGTGCAGTGAGGCCAGAAGAGCAGAACAAGCATGTACCTTTAAGATTTTGCACTTAACTACATCCCAGGTTCCCATTTCCCCTGGCTCTGCATGTGGGGAGACAGGTATGGTGTGGGCTTAAGAGTGGCCATGCAGCCCTGGCAGGTTTGCACATACTCCAGAAGGCCACAAGCCAAGCCCTGTCTTGTGGCAGCTTCTTCCTGCCTCTCCCCTTGGCTTGCCCCCTTTGGCAGCAGTGGTCTGTGCAGAGGTTGCGAGGCTGCCAGACAACCATGCGGCGGGAACAAAGAAGCAGGCTGGAAGGTGGCCGCAAAGGACTGGACGGCGGTTTTATATGTGGCAAAATACTTCTCCTAGAAGAGTACAGACAAGTAGACAGACAGATGGGGCACAGGACACCAGACAGGGAGAGGGAAAGATCAGGCAGTGGTGTCTTCTAACCAGTAAGTGGAAGCTGCACCCCACCCCACGTGGGGGCATGACAACATTGGCACAGGAGGTGGCGAGACAGGCCTGAGGTGCCCATCCCTGAGGTGGGCAGCCGGGCAGGGCCCAGTCCTCGTTGGCACAATCGGCTCTCTCTGGCCCAGCTGGGATGCTGGGGAGGGGCAGGGCTGCTAGGCTGTGGGGGTGTGGGGGCAGAGGGTGCCCCAGGGGCTACCAAGGCCTCTCCTGGGGGAAGTGGACACCAATGAAGGACAGGATCACAAGAGGCAAATATAGAGAAGCAGCAGCAGCAGCCAAGCCCCCCAAGGGAGATCTGAGGTCCCCAGGTGACCAGGCAACCCAGGATGGTGGTCATTTCCTGGACACCAACCCACAGGGCCTCTCTCCTGGGACCTCAGGATGAAGGTGAAGGAGCAGTTTTTTTGGTTTAGAATGAGGTGGACCAGAGTGTTCCATGGTCTCCACACCCAATGGCATGGAGTTGGGGGGCTCAGATGCAGAGGGCCCCTTTCTTCTGATGGCAGCAGGCAGGGGATGTCGTAGGCAAAGCTCATTCCTGGGGTAGGTGAGAGCTGAGGCATGGAGGTGGGGGTGGGTAGCAGCATGTCGGGTCACCCACTCCTCA